AAATAATATCGACCAGTGTTTCAGTCTTTGCCTCAAACGCAGAGAAGAAAGAGAGAGAGTGACAGAAGCAAGCTCAAAATAAAATTATAAATTATTTATATATGAAAATATTTTGTAACGTTGGTGGATGAATATGAATGGCTTTTAGATGTTAAAAAAAAAGAAAAGAATATGAATGGCTTTTTAACAAAAAAACAAATAGCTATTGTAACTATTTCTTACATGTCAAGGGAAAAAAATGTTACTTACATCTACATAAATACTACTAGTCATTGAGTTGAACTCTACCTAGTAAGGGGAGATGATTTCGATTATTAGCCAACAATGCTACTAGTCATTGAGTTGCTAAATATAATTGCATACTTTCTTTTTTTGACTCAAAAGTATAATTTCAAACTTTTGTAGTACACTTTTTTTTTGAACTTGTGTGATTAAAGTAGTAATAATTTAAGAGGAAAGTCAATAAATTTTGGGTAGCCCAATGAGAAAGGACAGATGAAAGACTTTTAGCTAGGGAGAGAGAGTAAGACCGATTGTTCTCTTTTTCCCATAATTCTCCTTCTGATTCTCATGGATCTACTAACTTGTGCCATCCCTCTTTATCTCATTAATATATATACACATATATAATCATAAGATCATTCATCATCATAGCACCAAAAACTTTGAACTTTATATATACATGTAAAAGAAACTAATCAAAGTTTGTGTTGACTATAAGATTAGCTAAATTTTAGATATTTCTAGAATCTAAATCTGCTAGATTTACATTGCAGCTTATAAAGATAAGTTTTATTTCCAAAATATGTGATAGCATTTAATAGTTTGGATGAGTGGGTGGGTGTATGTTGCAATTATTGGTGAATGATTACTACCTTTTGCATGCCATCTATATTCTGTTTTGCTTTCGAAACTTGAAAACAATAATACTAATAATTTTTAAAACATAAATGTTTGGGATATTTCATGTTGCACGTGACATGACAATGACACAAGGCCGTGTTTCGATTGTCAAATGCGACTACCCATACAATGTGAAGACAACCACACTTTCAATTGTCAAATTCTTAGATTTTTCTTAAAGAATTTGGATGATTTTGATATTTGGAAGACTTCTACAATATGTTTTGATTATCGCTTCTATATTACAACAAACTACAGTATTTGTGGCCACAATGAAATTGGATAAATTTTCCAAAATATTATTTGGTTTATTAATAGTTCGTAGATAATTTTCGGGTACATATTGGTTGTCCAATGATAGAGAAATCTTACATAGAATTTTATCGGATACCAAACACATTTTCCACCAAATTCATTTACATAAAAGCTAAACTTTGTTGAATTCTACTAAATTCATCCAGATTTAACAATTCTAACAATACCAACTGATACGTAGATATATACATATTTATTCTATATATAAAAATGATCATATAATAGATAATTAGTAAATGATGTGTGCATAAAGTTAAAGATATTAAAGCAAAAATTACATTTGAAATGAATTTTTTTGATAGATCGGATATTACATATATGATGTAGATAGTTATCATAGAAAATCACTAAATAAAAGTGTTACCGTTAGATGCATATTAGAGTATTTTAGATAACCGCAAATAAGTTTGAATAATTTATAAATTTTGTTTGGTGTGATACATTTTGATAATTTGGTAGTTTTAAGAACTAATGTAATTTTTTTGATTAAAAACATTTATAAAAATTCGTGTTCGGATAGATTGATTCCAATTATAAAATTTTGGTTTGGTTCGATTGAGCTTTTTCATTACTTTAGGACTACCCTAATTTTCTATTTATTTATTTTATGATAAAATCGTATTCTAACGTTTTATAGCAATTTTTTTGGAATTTCTTTCATTTATTATGGTTTCCATACATTATGAATCTTTTAGTATGTACAGTCCTATAACGTCTTGTGTGTATGTGTTTTTTAAATCATTCATTTCAGGTTTAAATAGTTAAGGATATGCTTTTTTGGATGCAAATGAGTAATGATGCATATAACTAGTTAAATTTTTCTTGAAGATCGATTCGTCGAAAGGCCTCGGCGTGGTGGAACTAAGCTCAATTTTGATATGACACATGTATATTGTGTTACCTTTTCATTAGCGATAGGGTTAGGTCATTCTTGTCACAAGTTTAAGCGTTATCTTAAAGTCTCACTTAAAATTATTAGCCAGCTACACCTTTACATAAGCCTATTTTGACATGAACTCAATCCGGTTTGTCTTATAGGTCGACCCAGTCCAAATATTTTCCTATTAATGCAAGTTTTTAGATATTTTTAACCAAAGTTTTCTTTTCACTTGGTTGCTTCTCGTTAGATCATTTAATTAAGTTTAAATTAATAGTAGTTTTGAGTAATGCTATTGATTATCTAATTGCAAATGTATAATAATTATGGGATTATGATTAGTACTAAATCTTATGGGTTATTTTACTGTAACTGAATCATTTGATCAATCTCATGATCATAACTCTACCTTCTGTAGTTAATATAAGCCTAACTTAGTTTCATTATATCACTTAGTCTTTTCATGATCACTAGCTTACTCTGATGTGACATCAACACATCCATCCTCACTTGGCCAAGTTGCCAAAACCTTTCTTTGATGATTTTTTCTCCGATCATCTATGTGATATAAACTAAGTCGTTTGATCTATCATTCAGATTTCTCTTAGTTTGACATTCGATTCAATTATTTTTTAATATCTTTTCTCAGTCAATTCGATTAGCCAAAACTTGTTTAAACAAATTAACTCATAATTCGATCATTCTTTGAACATGACTAAGATATCCTAACCAAACCAACCTGATATCTTTATTGCATGATACAAATGTTAAACATTTTCGGTCTAGTAGTATGAAAAACAAAAACTTTTCATTTAATTTTGTTTAAAAGTGCTTTTTACTTCTTTTTCTAAGAAAAGAAAAACTCTTTACTCTTTGTAAATAGTATTTTCTAATAAAATTTATATAAACCAAAATAATATTATCATCCAAATAATCTAGACTTAGGGTCTGACTGGTTTAAACACAGCGGTTGCGGTTGTAGTTGCGGGAGTTTGCGGAAGCGGGCGGTTGCGGTTTTAAGCGTTACCAAGCGTTTTGAACGACTGGTTTATCGTTTGAAAATGGATGCGTTTGCGGGAGTTTTATGACTGGTAAATCAGCGGTTGCGGTAGCAGTTAAATAAAAATATGACCAAAAAAAATAAAAAAATATTACAAAAAAAAAGAAATAAAAATACTAATATATTATTATGATAATATTAGAAAAATTGAACATGCTTAATAATTAAAACCATAAATAAAGTACTAAATAGTTATTCAAAAATAAAGAAATTTTGTAATAAGATAGTATTTTATACTGGGTTAACACCAAAAATTGCATCAAGTAATGAGACAAACTGTAAATAACGTTGAATTCAATCAAAAAAACAAGTGATTTTCTATTCGAGAAAATAAATCGAAACATATATTCAATCAAAAAGCAAAGCAATACATAATGAAAAGAAAAAAAAAGATGCTAAGAAAAATATTCAAAGAGTTACACATGAGGTAGTGAATGAATAAAATGATATATGATACTTATGTTTGGTTCTTGATTTTCATCAGTTTGGGTGGAAGACATTGAGAAAATAAAATTTTAGAATATTGATTAGAGTTTATGATGAGAACGTGATACAAAGATAAAAGATACATATAGGATAAATATATTTTATAATAATTATAAGTAAAGGTTTGTTTGTTTTTTTTTTTTTTTGTTTTTTTTTTTTTTTTTAAATCCAACCGTTACCGCCCGCAACCGCAAATGCTTGCGGGAAGGAACTTTTGAAATTTAGCGATTTCGAGCGGTTTGAAGCGGTATGGAGCGGTTTCTATGATTGGTACCAACCGCTAACAACCGCAACCGATCGCTAGCAACCGCTAGGAGGGTGCTAGCGGGAGAACCAATCAAGCCCTTAAGTTAGTCATAATGTTTTCGAATATATCCATGAGTTAGAAAAATATAAAGTAGGCACAAATTATCATTATTTTTAGTTTTGTTTGAATTTAATTATGGAATTTATTTTTCCAGTATCAGTATTCGTATTGAAATTACATATTACACAAAGCAAACTTTATTTAGATGATGAAAATTTTGAACACAAACGTCATCTACCGTCAATTCAACTCCATCAACAAATCAATTTAGCAGTTATTTTATCTCTATTTACTCAGCTAGGTGTTGGTCATTTTGACTGTTGCATATGGATGGCAATCGTCATACTTAATATAATTATGTGTGCTTGAGGAAGACAAAATGCTGAGAATAGAGTGTTGACGACTAAGGAAACATCAAAAACCTAGCTAAAGTGAAAGCAATGAACTAAATATTCTTTGGTGGGAATCTACCTTATACATTTGAATTATTCTATTTTTCTCTTTGATGTCTTTTACATTTTAGTTTTTCCCTATGATATATTCAATGAACTTTAGTGATACGTCGTCCATATTTATTTCAAGAACAAGTCCCAAAATTAATACTTTGGACCTAAAAACATATACGAGATATTTTTTTTCTTTTTACGAGAATAAAGAGATATTCTTTGCTTTATTGTATAAGTTAATTATCTTTTCGAAAAGCTTATGGTGATAGACAGTTCATATGCTTTATACCCACTCTAAAACCTTAAGGCCAATCATAAAGGTAATCATTAATCATATATTAACCAGCATTCACGTCCATTTAGTTTTCTTAACAAAACAAATGAATATTTTTTTTTTGTATAAAAAATATAGATATTCTTCTTACAACTTTACCCATTCCTTTAATATGTTTGCTTTCTTTCATCCATGTCCTCTTTTGTCCTTCTTTTACACCTTTTTCTCTCTTTTCTTTTCTTTCTGCTTTTTCTCTTTTATGTCTTTCTTTTTTCTTTATTTATATATCTATATCTTTATTTATTATCGGATTGTAAAATAAAAGTTCAACCAAAGAAACAGAACATTTATTGTGCCTCTAGTAGTTGATTCTTTCACTAGCTCTTCTCAATAGATAAGGAAAAAGAACAGTGTTGCCAACCTTCCAAGAGGACATTGAGAAGCTTAAAAAAAAAACACTTATTCAATTGATATGAATATCGAAACTAGTCATTAGCCAAAAATATAAGTTAATTGATACTAATTAATTACTAGCTAGCTACAACAATAAATTTAGTGAGATCGACCCAGAGTAAACTCAAGATTTGGCTTGAATGGGCTTGTTCCCGAGATGCTTGATGAGCTCATCTCTTCTGAGGATATTCTCTCATAACTTGAGCACTTTCCATCTAGTTCCTTCTGTCGAAATTAAAAACCCCCAAAAAGGAATCATTAATCAACTAGCTAAATTTTCTGGTGTGTAAATGGTTTGCATTTTTATATGTACACATGTCTATGATCAGCATGTACAATGTAAATAATTTATCAATGGTTTATGTCTCGATAAATGAAATATAAAATGCAGAAACTCATGCAACACTAAGTAAAAGTGATCTCAACATTTAACTAGGTTTAAGGTTAATATTGTATCATTCATAATTAAGACATTAGTTCTTATTAGATCTAAGCTTACCCTATTTATTGTCCTAAGGACTTATGTTTGACATTGACAAAAATATATACATATTAGATTTCTTATTGTTCAATGGAAGCTGCCATGGATTTGCTTTTGCCCATATTTGCATATAAGCCAACTTAGATAACCGCACCTCAAGGCTTAAGCTTTCACAAGTCACAATATATGCGTGTCAAAGGTCAAAACAAAAACTCATCATGGTCAATGTCAATGGGGTTAGGTTTTCTTTATTTTTCCTAATAAATGTCTAAATAACGAAAATACCCTTTGCTTTTGAAAATTCCTAAAGCAAACTTTAATGAAAGCCCTTTTTGTGGCACCCCTTTTTAGGTTTTCGGGTGACTTAGCAATGAAAAGAAATCGACAATGCATAATTTAAATTGATTTCAATGTTATATACTACACACACATATTCGCGTATACATAGTTATATTTGCAGAAAGAGATGTATCGTACCTCAGAAGGTAGCATAATTTCTGCAACATTATCGATTAGCTTCCCATGCAAACGTGCTTCTCTGCAAAAGCCAACAAAAGTTTGTTATATGAGAGAGATATATATGATATTCGCTTTATAGAAATGAATAAATGAAAATAAAATAATCAATGAAATAAACAAAAAGAGGAAGAAAGTGAAAAGGAAGATAAGAAATTACAAGACGAAAGAAAACAAAGCGTTTTCCTTTTGGTAATAACAAAGTTGTTTTTATCTCTGTCGACTGGCATGGCTGTTTGTTTAACGTAAGCAAAATTTAGAACGATGTATTAATATTATATTCTGACATATATTTTACTTTATTATAGTATAAAGTTGAGAAATCAATCTTTTCCTCCTACCCATGTGTTTGCCCATTTGTTCATGGGTTAACCATTCTAAAGAGCTTTAATTTACCTAAATATCTAGAATTAATTAGAAGAAATATTTGTTATATTCCTTTGAAATGGTACATGTAAGGATTTTTGTTTTTTTTTGGTTTTGTAATTATTATATTTTTAGAAAATAAAACGCACTAGATTTTGTATATATATATATATATATATATATATATATATATACACACACACACACATCAAATTTATGCATACAGATTTTACGTTAGACTATGATTTTCATGTAATGATTAATTACTCAGGAATTCAGCTTTGGGTTAAGTTTCTTCTCCTAATTCGCCATATTCATAATATAGTAATATCATTTTGCTAAGTAGTCCGAAAAACCTAAGGAAATTAAAGACTATTCATAATAATTTAATATACACTACCATCAGATTCACACATATATATATATATATATATATATATATATATGTATGTAAGTATTTTTGTGGTGAATGTCATATATGTATGTGTTCTTGTGACTGTAGAGAGACTGAGAGAGAGACCAACACATGATGATTAACCCATCATGTGTTTTGTCTCAACTCCGATCCATTGGGTTTGTGGCTGAGAAAGAGACAAAACAGGACTACAAAGCAGAAACATAAACCTAACCGGCTAACCCAATTCTTAACTACACTTATATAGATATAGAAGCATGCACATGCTTGAACGAGATTTCACATTACATATAGTTATATATAGTAGCGATGGAATAATCACCTATATCTAGGCATGCATGTGTAGATAGACCGTACTTCATGTATACGTACCCGGAAGAATTTGTCCATAGACCATTTGATTTCTCTAGAGGATTCGTCAATTCCTCGCTATCTCTAGATTTTCGATTCATATCGAACATCCAATCGTCTGAGTTATTATCTCCTGAAGATCCATTTTCATAGACATCAGATTGTCCTAAATAACATGAAGAAAAGATAAAAATTAGGGCTTCTATCAGAATCACATTTCAATTATTAAATCATATATATCCAATAATTTCAGCCCAAAAAAATCTGAATTATTTCTCTAACACTAACCTGACGAAGCTGCTGCTTTGTCGGTTGTCTTCACTGTTCTGTACATCTGATATTATTAAAAAAAAAATATGCATCAAAAATATAATTAATAAAACTCATGAACCATATTATAGTTTCGACTAATAAGTCAGAAAGCAACACTCTTAATTATAATTCGTATATACAATAGATGCATGTATCGAATTATATGGCAAAGGAAGAAGAGACCAAAGTAAGGAGACCAATGTACTGTTGTCTTCCGACACAGTTGAATAGTACCAACCAATTTTCAAAATAAGAAACATATATATATATATATATATATATGCACATACAATTATATTCTATATATATGCACAGACACATTGGAAGATAAATAAAAAAGAGAGAAAAATATAAAACTGTTCGGACACAGAAGCATTAATTGACATTATTAATGAAGTTTGCGATTTTCATGTACCCATGCATGAATTTATGTGTCTAACCATGGTTAAAATCTAGCATTAAACATATGGAGAAGTGGAACCATGGTTAAGTTAAAGAAACCTTCTCTCTCTCTCTCTCTCTCTCACTGTGACTGTGTGTAAGACCAAAACCATTTCATCATTGAGAAATGATGGTGTTTCTTGTACTCTCCCTTTCAGTCTATATTTATTATTATTAAACAATATTCCTACCGATATATTCATTTAATTAAGATCGAAATCATCCCTAATTAGAATTAGTCCTAAGATTTTGGCTCTTATAGGCACAAGATATCTACATATACCTTACAGAATATATAACCAAGTAGTTCTTGATTCTAATAAATTATAAAATAGAAAACAATATGATTATGTAGAAAGAAAGTCTAAATTTTGGTGTATAACCCAAGAAAATATGGATGATAAGAAACCAAAGGTACTAATGTTTTTCTTGATTCTCTATAGGAGATTTTTTTCTTATAATTAGCACAATCACTTACGTAATTACCCCATCTCTCTATTTCTCTCTCTAACTTTCTATTCTATGTGTGTCAGTAATAGTAATATTGAGTAATTTTTGGTCTACTTGTAACAGGACAAGTTTATTCTTCCAAGACGAAATTTTTTTAGACTTGCAAAAAGAAGACTGTCTATCGTCTACAAAGACCATCAGATCTAGCACGAAGAAAAGAAGAAGAGGTTTTTGAAAAATAAAATATTTTTTATATAAAATATATATGGAATGTTTATATACATTTTTCTTTTGTCTTAACTCAGCCAAGGGTGCATTATTGGTGTGGCAAAATTGGATTTAATTAAGATAAGAATAAAAAAGGAAGGATCAGAAGAAAACAAGATTCGATCTCTTCTGACTCCAGTGGAACTCTGATTTAAGGAAGTCACCGAGTCAAATGCATCGATACCCGAGAAGATTATTACTATTAACTAATTATATACTTATATAAATTTATCTTTTTATTCCCATCTAATTATATACTTACATGGATGAATTTATAAGAACTATACTTTGAATCAATTTACCTGTAAATGGGACTTAACATGAGCCAAGGTTAGATCTTTGACATCCATGAGCTCAAGAACTGATTTGGGTGTTGCTCCTAATTAGCAAGTAAATAAAACAAAACATTTTTTTTATTAAAAAGGGTAATTAAGGGAAAAAAAGAGATAAGCTTGGAGCTAAAGGGAACATACTTTCATGGCCACCGAGTAATTCAACGGCGTGAACGAACCGGGCATGAAGAGTGGTGGTCCATCGCATCCGTGGAGCTCTCATGCTTCGCTTAGCTGGGAATCTTGGCATGAATCTGGCTCTGTTCAGAGTCTGGTGATGATGATTGTGGTAATTAGGGTTACTAACGCTACTTGTATTAAAGCTATTGTTGTTTCCGGTAAGAGCCGGCGAGGAAGAGGAGGAAGAGGGAATTAGAGACGACGGATCGAAAGGGAAACACGGTGGTGGCGGACGGTGATGATGTGGAGGAGGGTTGTGGTAAAGTGGGATTCCTCTTATTGGTCTTAAGTGAGTATTAAGGTCACGAGCAAGAAACCCTTGTAAGTGTTGTTGTTGCTGTTGTGTCGGAAATTGGAAAGAGGTCAAGATGTTAGAGCCGTTGCAATTAGGGAGAAGCTGAGGATGATGATGATGATGTTGTTGTTGTTGATGATGAGAGTTGTTAGAGAGCGAGAGATCTTGAAATGGATGATTGATCGTTTTTGAGCTTGAATTAGAGACGAGAGAAGATGTTCTTGAATCAAGAGCTCTTCTCCAAAACCCTAAATCGAGTTCTTCATGATCTTCTTGATCTGTTGTTGATCTTCTTCGCTGCCATGTCGATGTTGGTTTGCTGTTCGGTGGACTTATCTGTAAGGATAAATCGGGCTGAGCAGGAAATAACTCCATGAAAGAGACCTTTAACTTCTTATCCTTCTTCTTGAAGAGATTCTTCAGTCGGTTTCCAGATATGATGAACCCTAGTTCTTGTTTTTCTTTGGGTTAGGACAAAGAAGATAATAAGAGAAAGATATCCTTTTTTTATTGTGGGTAGGAGGAAAAAGAAAAGAGTATTAAAGATTTGAGGAAGAGATTTCTGGGTTTTGTTGAGAATGTTGTTTATATTGTTTGAGGTTAAGCAGATTTTGCAAAGATTTTTGAGAGATATAGAGAGAGAAAATCAATGACAAGGTAGTATGTAGTGAATGGGTTGTTTCTTTTGTGTGAAGTATATGTGAGAAAATGACACTTGAGTGTGTATGAGAGAGAGGAGAGAGAAGGTATTTGTGTGGACATGGGGGGCTAGAGCCTAGAGGAACTTAGGTTAAGAAAGGGGGAAGAAAAGCAAAGGGATAAAGAAAATGAAAAGAGAAAGAAATTAAAAAAAAAAAAAAAAAGTGGTAAATGGTAAATAAGGCTTTCTTTTTTCTTTCTTTCTTTGCACTCTTTTGTTTTCTTTGGAGGAGAAAAGTAAATCCTTTATTTGTGATTTAAAACCATTTTTATTGTTCTTTTCTTAGTCTACATTCCACCTTTTATTTTATCTTTCCACTCGTTTTTTTTTTGTTTCTCCCCTATAACTAATAAATATGAATAAATGGAATTTGCACCCCAAAAAGATGAATAAATGGAATTATCAATAATATATTGGTCTCATAATTAAATTAAGGCTAGGTACTTCTTTACGGTTTATTTATTTATCTTGTTCTAATCATTTCTTTGGCGATGGCCGTAAGAAGTTTGTCAAATTAGTGACCTACGCAGTTCTAAGAAAATAGAAAATGTTCATTTTAATTAGAATAAAGTATGAAATAAAGTAGGTTCATATGAAAAATTCCTTCGAATGTCTTTTACTAAACATAAATTAACTAAAATATTCATCACATGAAGAGGAATAGCTAGAAAGGTGAAAACTTTGGAATGGTTTATCTTTAGCATCCCACACGCTCTCTATCCTTTGCTTTTAACTGAAACCCAAGGTTGATTTCTCCTTTTTATAAACCCTATATTCATTCCAAAAAGAAGAATAAAATTTTAATAAAAAAGGTTAAAATCAAAAATATTAAAAAGGAAGAACAAAGAAAAAGATGAAAAGAGAGAGTGAGAAAAAGGAAAAAAAGAGGAACAAAACAAAGTTTGCTTATTTTAGCTTGTATGACTCTCTTTCACATGATTATCACTTTTCTCTTCTCCCTATGTTTTTTCCTTGAATTATACCTTAATGATTAAAAACCCTTATCACATGTTTTTTGAATAATCTGTTTTCTCAGAGTGATGTTCAAATCAAGTCCAACATAAACACTGCAACCTCTATAGTGTATATCACAATGAACGATAGTGACCATTATGAGTTACTCGAGTACAATTAATAACTGATTCCAAAGTCTCCTATATATGTCTTTTATGTATCAAATATCATGTATTTGTTTGAGATGTGCAAACATGTATTATGGTGGTTTGTATTATTTACGTCACCAAGTTATAATTCAAATTTAAATTTAAATTTGGTAATATGCGTGTGTGAGTTATAGACGATTAAAGAAAAATCTTTGATTGTTTGGTGTCAGTCAAAAATGCATGCAAAACAATCAAACTATATGCAAATTCAGTTTACATTTGAAACTTAAAATTAATTGGTAGAAATTATTTTCATGTTAATAAAACCAAATTTAGAACAAGGAGTTGTCTCCTAGTGATTAAGGGCCTCCAGCTGGGGGTACTGCCATCTGGGTTCGATTCCTGACCGTACTGCAGAATATAATTCACATGGCGGCTGGAGGCTTCCAGGACGACGTCAGCTCCGCTTGGACACGACGCTAGTCGGATCACTTCGGTGGGACCGGACACCTGGGTTATAAAAAAAAAAAAAAGACAAAACAAAACAAAACCAAATTTAGTAGCATGTCATACAAGAAGGATTGAAAGTTGAAACCTTCCCATTACAGCCATAGCCAGCTCGAATCAATAAAGTTGGGGATAAAATAGTAATTTACAATGTCGGATTTACAATGGGAACTATTATTGTGCTTTGTCAAAAGGACAATCGAAATATTTAAAGAAAGAAAGCCCAAACCCAATCAAATGCCTAATTTTAAACATATAATTAGCTTCCTTAGCTATATTGATTTACAAAAAGTAAGAAAAAACCAATAATCACGTCACTCACTACATGGAATAAAAGAGAAGGTTCATTGAATAACAAAATTTGAATGCTTCAATATTTGATTGACTCTAAAATCTTGTGGAAAAATGATTTGAAGGATAACTGCAAATTAATTACGAGAGATTAAAATAAGAGATGTGTTCCATTTAAACCAAATATTAAATCATCGTGACATAATGGTTAGTAGTGCCGATGACTTAGGCATAGAGATCGGCAAGATACCTCCATAGGGAATAGAAATCTCCATAAGAAAACGACATTTGATCTTAATTTTCTTGAAATTCACAAAGATGTTTCTGTAGCTGATTTTCATTTTGATTAATCAAAGCTATATTACTATAACCATTCTTCATTAATGACAAATTATTAAACTATTACTATTAGATTCTTGAGTTTTCGTAGGGTTCCCAACAAACCCCAAAACCGGTGTACTTAATATCGAACCATGTTTATATTGGAATCATGTTTGAACTTTAGAGAGACAGAAACCATGTTTAAAAGTATTGATTCATTTGAAAAATTTGGAATCAAATTCATTTTTTTTAAGTTATGTCGCAAGCTTTATCAAAGAAAAAGAAGAAGATTATATCTGGACTAAAAATATTTATGTAAATAATGTTAAAATAACATAGCAAGTTTTTACTTACAAAATCGTAAGGTTACTATTATGTGAAAGCAAACAAAGATTAGAAAAAAAGAGTTAATTAAATAGAATTTCCAACTCTCACAACATTAAATGTGGCAGAACCTCCCTCACTTTTAAAATTATGAAACATTAATGGTAGCAGCAACCATTACGGAGCATCAAATTCTTACAAAAATAATGTATGTGAAATTGTGAATACGTATCTAAGTATATATATATAGAGTCGTATTACATAAATATAGGTAGTTAGGTACGGATTTGGCTATTGAATGGTCAATGTGGCAATTAGAACTACGGTCTAATAAAACACACACATGCTTCGAGGATATATTTATATAAGTAGATATTTGTGTTTTCTCTATTAACGAAAAGAAAATGTAAATTACTCTTATATATATATATATATATATATATATATATATAATACATAAAACTAGTATTAAATATAAATTGATTATATAAAAATACCTAAAACTAATATTAATGTATCTAAAAACAAAAAATAGAGTCCAAAATTATGTAAAATTATCATAGTTAAAGATAATAAAATTATTATAGTTGAAGACAAAATTTTCTTAATTAAGTTTATATACCTTGTGGCCTTTGTATGATGTTAAATACTCCATGTGTTTCATATTATAGGATGTTTTAACCATTTTATTTTGTTTCACAAGATGTGTTGGACAAAAAATTCAAGTTTCAATGCAAAATTGAAGTTATATAATTTTGTGACTATTTATATTCTGCAGTAAGTTTTTTTCATTGGCCAAACTCTATTTAATTAAGTAATAAATTATGATTTTAATTATGTAAGAAATATAAAAACAAAAAAGATTAATTAGTTTTTTAAACTTTGTACTTTTAGCCTAAACATCTTATATTTTGAAATAGAGGGAGTATTAAAAAGTAGAAAATATATGTGTGTATGTATAGTTAATTAAAAAAATATATAAAACAAATTTCAAAAAAATACACAACAAAAACAAAAATGTATATGGGAATTAGATATCAATCCAACTGCAATAGGTATGTAAGCCTCCCGTTAAAATTTTGAGATAATTGGGTGAAAGACGTTACTTTTTGACTTAATTAAATTTTCGATGTTAGCCCATTTGGCCCAAGACAACAATAATACTTAGCTACTCTTTCTTCCGACTATAACCTCACGCGCCCCTCTCTCTTCTACCAAATAGTAGCCCAATTACGCATGACAAATATCTTGCTAAAGACCATTCTCGAGGATTTAATGCGTGTCTCTTTATTCTGACTCTTGCGTGTCCAACATCTCTCTTCTACTACATCTCGACTTTTCGCTCTCATTTTCTGCAAGAATTTTCATCTTCTGTTACGACATGGAGAGTGTTTCTCTAAGTCTTTCTCAGTTTTGTTCCATTTGATTTTTTCCGGAGTTTCACTGCAGTTTTTGGAATTTTTGGTCGATTTGGTCGTATTTTTTCTCTTTCGCCGTCATTGGTTTTGTAGCCACTGTTTCTCCGTCGTTTGCAAAAAAACCTTGAATATCTGTATTTCTCGTTTCTTTTTTCCAAGTTCTTTTACTTCTTCACCTATTTTCTTAGATCTTATTTGGTTATTTATACATCTATATAGATCTTTACTTTTCTAATTGCAACTATTAAATCTATTGTCGGTCCATTAACTGACGATGATCTGTTTCTCTAAGTCTTTCTTATTTTTTTTCTCTGTCTCTAGCTATCTATATTGGTCGTTTCTTCTTTCCAGATCCACTTATGTCTTTACCTATTTTCTTAGATCTGGTTTGGACATTCAAAAATCTGCATAGATCTATACTTTCGTGTTTGCATGTTCATAAGTTTTTTTGCGGGTCCATTAACTGTTCACCCCCCTCGTAATCCACATCCAGCAATACCAACCTTGTTCTGTCTCCACCTGTTCATGTTTTTAGCAATCCAAGTTAATACATGGATATTCACAATTGGATAAGACTCATTATTTGCAAACTTTTCCTTATCTTGTCCGCAAGTTTGGAGCCAATGAGCTGATGCAAAATTTTCCTCTCCAGCCGCTGACTTTCGCTAGGAACACACACGTTGCTCAAGCTTCCGATATAGCCAACAGCGGGATGCTAGCGCTCTATTTCTTGGAAGCTCATGCGACTGGAGGCATTTCCAAGGTTTACCTTGTCCAAGAGAGTGGTATGCGCGAAAGAGCAGAGCAGCTAGCGGTTGAGATGTACGAGCACGAGAAATAAGTTTAGTAGGACATGGAGAGGATGCTGATGAAGAAGGCGAGGAAAGCTTTGAGATGGTGCAGAAGTTAAAGAAGGATAACGAAATGCTACGAATAACTGTTCAAGCACTTGGAAGCCAAACGCGACGACGACGGGACTTTCTGATCATTTCTGGCATAGGCTTCGTGTGTGGCATGATGACTATAGTCTACGCAATGAAGAAGTAACACATAACCATGTAAGACAACTACCCTTTGAATCGTATAATTATGTATTGGGGAATCGGAATGTTTATTTGTTTCATAAATGCTACTTTGTTTGGTATCTTTGTATTATGAAAATTTGGTAAAATTAACATTTTATGTTTATTCAATAATTAAGGTAAACATTTAAATAATATAGTAGAGTTATAAGAAATATGTTAGATAGCTAGTAAATCATTTGAATATGAAATAAAAGAACTAAAGTTCTAAATATCAGAAAAAGATGACAGATATCCCAAAGACCTAATACATCAATCTTAAGTGTCATGTTCAACGACATAGAAACCACGTAGAGCTTCATGTCATGGATGTCCACACGCATCGTGAGAAACAGGTCCATGTCGTCGTTCGTCACGAAGTGGATCGGCACTGGTTTCACCGATCCGTCCACGTCCATCCACTCTGGCATCTCATACGTAAGCTCAACCTTCTCAACATCTTGTTTGATGTTTAGTTCTTTGCACACCTTTTCCTTCGCGGTGTCAACCCCATCTCCCTCTCTGAAACGTATGCACTTGCCATCTCTGTCCCTTGCCGGCGTGAACCTCCACACTCCGCCATCATCTTTGTCCCACTTCCCGAGTAGGACATGCACCAAGTCGATGATTCTGTCTTTAGCCGCCTCCATCACGATCCATGTACAAACATAGAACATAACATTAAAAAACTTCTCTTTATGATTACAACCGCAAGGCTAAATTTTTTTTTGGTTTTGTGAAGTTTCCCAGTTCTTACCTCTCTACGATGTTAGTTAAGCAGATATGTGTTCTCTTGGAGTTTAAACTAGTAGCTCTACTTCTTATTTCTCCATGTCTCTTACTAACTCGGGCTGCCTATTTATTGAGTGTTCACAATCTAATGTTAGGTCTTAAATTTTCGTATCCCGCCCAAATGGTGTCGTCACCTTTTAAATTCGTCCAACTCAAATTAAAGCTGCATGCATTAAATGACAGTCATTTCGTTCGGTTTGTCGACGGATAACTCTCAGTTCAACTGTTGAACAATTAATTTGTGTCAGAACGTTCCTTCGCTCATTCGTAAAGCCACATTAACCTCCCCACGCGCACGTCGAAAGCTCAGCCTGGTATTATTGTAATTATTGTCAACTATAAGCCCTATTCCAACTTTTTTTTTATCGTAGTCTCCGACGCTCGTAGCTTATACCGTTTCCTAATTATTAGCAAAAATAACGTCTCTGCACAAATTCACTCTAAAATTTTTTACGCGATTAACAAATTATTAAGATGCATACGAACTTTAAATGGTGCTCTCAAACACCTTGACCCACAAGACATGGGTTTCGAGAAATACGATGGATGAATCACCTTTCTCAACGATTATGGAAGACAAAACACAATCTATGTCACATAGAACTTACCATACATCAAATTATGTATGCATATTAGCTTTTAATTGACGTGTTAATCACCAATGCTCAACTCTTGACCTTTTCGGAGCTTCAATCATATTCTACAGCAACTGACAGAACCGTCCCTAACATGAACATCCAAAATCACACTCTAATACTCTCAGCCTGCTAGAAGACCATCTTTCGACATTGTTTGATTTCTAGTTTATTTTTATTTTTTTCGTTTTTTCTTTTTTTGAGATCTCATAAAGTCTCTATTTGTAGTTTTTCTCAGCACCTTCGAATAAATCCATAAAGTTTTTTTTTGAATTTTAAAACTCTCTTAGTTCGGTCTTACACTGTTGTGTGGTGTGATGTCACAAGAAAGTGATGTGCTATATATCAACAGAGCATTCAAGTGAGAGCCCTCTAATCTATTTGAATGCTCACCAAATTATCTCTATCCGACAGTTTAAATTGGTGCTTACATCAGAATTTGTTTGGTGCTTACATCGACGGTTGTTAATTGTGATTGATGTATGGATGAACTCAAGGAATAATTTAAAAAATAATTTTGATTCTAGTAACTTCTATGAAAAGAGTTCCTGACGTGCTAAGTGCTTCACAATAAAACTTACGGTGATGACAATTTACAATATTAAACACACCATTTTTGTAGGTAACCAACTAATGGTTGAAACCATTTTATCTCTTGGAAAATTAAAACCATTTCCGTCTAGGAACAAAAAACATTTTCTCTCGATTACAAGATAGAGAATAGTATCACACATAAGTTTGGGAAATATGATTTTAAAAATTCAGTACCCATCATTTCACTATCTAAGCATATTTAGGATATTGAAGTCACAACATTCGTTAATTCCTTTTTTTTTCGGCATTCGTTAATTCATTTTATACTTATTTTGGTGGATTGTGATAAAAGCAAATAGCTTTCACATAAAATTCGATAAATGATATATAAGTACCACTACTACGAACCATTCAAATTTTCTAATATTTGAATATAAAAAACATACAATGTTTTTTCTTTTGTAACTTCGACTCTCAGACTGTTCATACCAAATCAATTTAATTCAAATGATTCCAATTCATTAGTTGTGATTTGATTGAATATTGAAAAAACGAATTTCTATTCAATGTATTCCAAATTCATTGAACCTTTTGGCAAGTTCACATAATTAATATAAATTTTTTTAATGTTCTGACTACGATAATATGCACAAAGATTTTAGCCATGTAGATTTGAAAAATTGATTATCAACCAATAGAGTAGACTATCATAGATAATTATAAGAAGTTTGATTGGGTAAAAGTTACACAAAAAATTCCTCAATGTTGTGAACTGACTCTTTCATTAATAGCAAAGGGATATATATACAAGGTTAATAGCAGGATATATTGAATAAGGTAAAACCCTAATGGGCCATGGGCCGGTTATGGAGTCCATCCATATGGTTTATAACACTCCCCCTTGGAAGACATAACCGTGCCCGATACTAAACCGGGAACTCTATAATGCGCTGGGGAATGTTGCCTCATTAAAACCTTACCAGGAAAACCCTGTGGGACAAAACCATGGTGAAGGAAAAAGAGTACAACACGCATTACTTCCCCTGATATGAGCATCACTGTAGATCCTTAAGTCCGCGCATCCCGATCTGATGAATGAGCTTCCGGAACGTTGAAGTCGGCAATGATTTGGTGAATAGGTCGGCTGAATTCTCACTTGATCGGATCTGTTGAACTTTGACCTGACCGTCCTTTTGTAATTCATGAGTGAAGAAGAGCTTTGGAAAAATGTGCTTCGTCCGGTCTCTCTTAGTGTAGTCGTCCTTGAGTTGAGCAATACATGCTGCGTTGTCTTCAAATATGATGGTCTTTGATGTAGTAGTAGTTGCGCCTTAAGGAAGGCTGCCTACGTACCCCTAGAAGGGATCAAGCCACACGTAGTTCCTATTCATTGACCATGCCATAATCTGATCTTATGAATAACCTGCATCAGCAAATCAAACTAAACCAAAGCAAACTGGAACTTCCTTGGTTAGATCAGTATAGAATATACCTAAGTAAACAACGCAGGAAGAATAAAATTTAAAATTTAACCAAACCTTCCTTTAAACCTTTCCAGTGCCTTTGGGTTGATCATGAACTAAATTTAGACAGGAGACTCACGGCAAAACAAATGTTTGGTCTAGTGTGTCTATGGCACTAAGGTATGGCATTTTCGGACTGAATGGATCACTATCCAATCTGAGGCTTCTCACCACCATTGGGCCTGGTCAATGGGCGGGTCTGGTCCTTATTAAATCTCCTTGAGTACTCTTTCAGTGTATGCCATTTGATGCACAAGGATTCCATTATTCACGTACTCATGTTGTAATCCCAAACAGAACTTAATTATTGCCTAGGTCTTTCATTTCAGATTCTTTCTTTAGATATACTCAACTGTTTGGTCGATTACCCAGAGGTTTAAATCATTCATATACACTGCTATGATTACAAATCCTTTGTTTGCAAACCTCTTGATAAAAATACATGGACTGATCGGATCATTTTTATAGCCTTCTCTGATGAGATATTCGCTTAACCAGTTATACCACATACGTCCGCTTTGTTTCAGTCCATATAAGGATTTGTCCAGCCTTATGCAGTGTTGTTCTCGAGAATCTTTCTTATCTTTGAGCTCAATACCCTCTGGTAATCTCATATATTATCCAGTGGACTTATATAAATATGCAGGCATTACATCCATTAGCCGCAAATCTTTCTCTTTTATATAGCCAGACTTAGCAAAGATTTAAATGTCTTAGCATCCACCACAGGGGAGTATATCTCCTCTATTTCTGGTCTTTGTGTGAATCCTTGTGCGACAAGCCGTGTCTGATATATCACGCTTTCACTATGTTTATTTCACATAATCACAAAGACTCATTTGTCCCACTGGCTTTACATTGAATGGTGTCCTTCGTATTGGACCAAACATATTCTTCTTCTTAATGATTATTAGCTCCACGTTTTATGGTCTTGTACCATTTTAATCAATCAGGTCTTTGAGTACACTCTAGTATAGACGTGGGCTCCTGATCCTCATTCATTTCAGTTGCTACCTTATGCGCAAATATATTATCATTGATGTCGACATCTTTTCGGTTCTATTGTATTCTAGATATGATATAGTTTATAGAGATCTCTTTACACCTTCAGAACCTTGAGGTTTGGCGTCCCAAACCTCATTGATTGGTACCTTAGGGTTATGTCTATTAGCCGGCCATGTCTATGGTTTCTTGAACCTTCTCGGTTTCCCTTGCACCTTTCTTTGATTTCCGAGGGTTCTTGTCTTTGGAACCTTTTGGGTCTACCACGTTTCTTACGTGTTGTAGCCTCTGTAGCAACTTGATTATGTTCCTTGTGAACATCAATATGTACTGGTGCATTACAAGCTGGTATGTACGATTTTGTTACTCTCTTTGGGTCATTATAGGAATCTTGGCAAATGTTTTAGCTAGCTTTTGCAGATATATAGTCTTTTGGATCTCTGATGGAGTCCGAGGATCTTGCCATGTGAAGGATGTTTGATTCCATGTAAGTTCTTTGACCAGCTTGTTAGTCTCTCCACCTAGTGTTGGGAAAACGGATTCATTGAGATGACAATCCTTGTATCTGGCCTTTGGCTTGAGATACTTAATGATGGTGGGAGAATCATTTTTAACGTATATTCTCATCCCCATTTGAGGTCCCATTATT